TATAGGGTTATATCTAAGAGTTATAACATTTAGTTTTCTGGAATCGCAATGCATGAGTTGTATCCCAAGTGTTACATGATAACTGGGTATCAATAGTGTTGTTCATGTATATAAGAGACAGTTACCACTTACTATCAGCTTTCAATAAAACCAATAGATAAATATATGTAAAAAAAGAGTACAACTTCGAGAAAATTACAATTAAAATAAAACCAAGACGTCGACGATCATATCGTTTTATTATTTTAAATTATTTCTTTCATTTACGTTACGAAACATCTTTATTATTATTTATTATATGTACACCAAATTACATTTTATTTAATATTTCTAATGTCATAGTTTTTATAATACACAACAAGATTCTTATTTGAAATAAATTATGAAATACTTTTTAGTATGTAACATGTATATTGAGATCAATGCACTATTTAATATTTCAAAGTCTATAATAACAGTTATTTAACAATAAATTTGATTTTATGTGTACCATTCAAGTATAGTTAAATCTTAGTTGATTAAAATAAAAGTCATTAATATTAATAATAAATAAAAGTGATAAAAGACAGAATTAATAATACATTTATTATATTAGCACTAAAAAATCCATAAAAACAGTTTCAAATACTTGTTACGAGTAAAACTCACATATTCAAAATTATCACTTTTTTTATTCACTTTTTCTATGAAAACATTTAGTTTCTTCGTTTAATAATGAAATAAAATCCATTGAGTATTACTACTAAGTATACATTTTACAAGCAATTGTACAGTATTCAATTAAAATAGAAACATTGGAAACAATCCTACACCAAAGAATGTACGATATTTTCCCTAAAATTCTCCATTGAATATTAATTGAAAAAGTTAAGCAAAAAAGTAAGCTTACATTTAATATTGAAATTTTGAAATAAAACACATTTTACTAATATATGCTATACAATCAGTCTTCGTCTAACAGATATACGTCCTAACTGCACATATTACAGAAAAGAAAAGCAGAATGTCATCTTTATTGGACTCCACTTGGACTTATGAATAAGAATAACCCAAAACAATTAACATAGTGCCATGTAGTCTCAAGCAAAGTAGAGATTTTGTTATGGGTACTATACAACTGATAGAAATACCAACACATTGTTTAGTACATACATATATGATATATATAGATAACATCCAGACTGATACAAATAATTATACTGAAAATTACAAATATTTGTATCTTCCTAGGAATCCTCCTAAGCATCTGCGACAATTGGAAGGAAAGCGGTGTGCTAAACCTATACCACCACAAGGCTAAAATATACATATAATATTCTTACTAGGGCATTATGTACCATAATAATTTATTAAATTTTATTGATGACAAATATATGTATACCTAAAACTCATATTATTTCGTGCATTACAACATTTCCGAGTCTTTGTCTGACGTTTTCATAACAAGGGACGGAAATTATGAGATCAGAAGATTTAAAAAGCCATTTTAATACCGTGTGACTTTGTTTGATTACAAAATTAAAAATACAGTGTTGACGTTGCTAATTAACACAGTAGGTAATAAAATCTAATTTGCGTCAAGCTATAAGTACTTCGCACATCAGAGCCGTTTATTAAAGAAGATACCTGCTTAAAATGTAGACAATACATTTTGAAACACAGTTGGCCAAATTCAAAATTGATAATCATTCTTTTTGACAACAATAGCACTTCAGTAGGATCATTTATTCATTCATAATTTAAGAGACATGTTTTTAGACCGGTTATCAAACAAGATACCTGCTTAAAATGTAGACAGTACATTTTAAAATACAGTTGGCAAAGTTCATAATTGATAATCATTATTTTTTACAAAAATAGCACTTCAATAAATTCATTTCATTTCATTCATTCATTCATTCATTCATGGTTTAAGAGCCACGCTCTAGTCGGTGCAGCTCTTACCACTTTCTACGATCTTCCATCATGCTCTTTAAATATTGATACTATGCATATAATATAATCGAAAATAATAATTAAAACAATTATACGATATGTATACACCAAAGCTGGCACACTTTTATTATTTATAACTAAATATAATACATAATAATAGTAGATATACTGAAATAACAATTATTTATTACAGACATGTAACACATGGACGATAATAAATATACAATGTATGTAATATAAATTTAATAAACAGTTAGACATATTATAATAAATTTATTCATAATTTGTCGCGACTCGTTTTATATTAATTTAGAATATCCAAATATAGACACAATATTAAAATGAATTACCATTTTGAAATACTGTTGAACATATCATATTCATACATAAATTACAAATGCGAAAGTATGCTTGTATATCTATTAATTTGTTAGCATTTCATAGTTATATAGATTTTATTGAATTTTGACGTAAAAATTAACGGCTATAGACAGTATTGTATCTAAATAAACAATACGTAAGAGGTAAAAGAATACGATGAAAGTTTGTCCAGTTAAAATCGCGGGTTCTGGCTAGTATATATATTCAATAGTAGTTCAAAGTAAAGGAAATACTTTTATAGTAGAAGATCCCAACATTCTGTATGGGCATTTAATCGTTTGTCACGGGGATCAATAGAATTTAGAGAAATAAATAGTAAGAGATATAAAACATAAAATAAAGTTTCTATTTTCAGCGGCAAGCGAAGCGTCTACAGGTTTTTTAAAAAATAAAACACCATTACATATACACCTGCACCTTTTGAGTAAATACCAAAATACTTACCTAACCGTTATTTTTAACTTGTGCTCGTACCGTTGATTTGAAATCGCAGTGAATGAATTCGATCTAAATTGTCATCGCATAAATATTTTATACTTAAACTAATAATTTCAATACTGTAGAGAATTTTTATTTGATATACTATGTACATGTAGGTACATAGTATATCAAATAAAAGTCAGCTCTAATAAAAAATATGTTTCTTTATTCGGGATAAATTGTTTATTAAAATTTAATTACCTATTCATGAGAGATATCCTATTTAAATCAGTCGCCTACGAAGAAATAATTAATTAATAATTAAAATAATTTATTGATTACCTGGAAATTCATGGGGGGCAGAAGTAATAATAATTTATGATTATTATTAAATCTGTCCGATAGAGTCTTCTACGGATATTAGGCCGTGATTGTTATGAGTAGGCCTATTTTTCTTATTAATACTAGAGAACAACATATAAGTTGGTATGCCATATTAAATACATTGTATAGCAGGGTTTCTATTTTTTATACTACGACGCGATGGTGGCAAACAATTATTTCTCAACTATTTTCTAGTCATGGGCCGAAACACCGTATTACGGACATGATTCTAAACGCATCATGACAATTCAACATATAACTGTATTGTAGAACGCAAGCGGGGCAGAATATTACGGGGCTCTGCCTCAAACACCGCTTTACCAAGTAGAAACGAACCCCTCCTTTGCAAGTTTCCAAGTATCAAAGTGTCTACAGTTTTTTTTTTAAATGTATAAAACAGATATATTGTTTGTACAAAAGCCAATCAATACTACTTTAGGTTTTATAGATAGCAAAAGTCAAGCAGTACCCGTTTAGATGGATTTTGCCCATATAAAAAAGATTTGCTCACAATATTTCTCTGGTATTCATTGCTGCACCCTTTAGGCATCCACGGACTAAGTTAGAAACGCTATTATGTTGGAATTAATAACATATTATATATGACAATTAAAGCATACACTTGAAACTACAATTAAAGCATACGAATACGTTGCTGAACAATTATGAAGGGTAACAACATAACCGTATTTTAATGCAGATGATTGTGTGCTTTGTACTGGTATTATATAAATTATAGTAGTATATAAATGATATTTACGGTATTATACACATTCTCTATGATTTTTTATTTAGATTTTATTCATATAATCTATTGAAACAAATCTATTAACGAATTTCTTCAGTAAATTATAAAATTATACTTGGTACTCCTAATAATCTCATTCGCATATAAATGATTGTTTGAATTGACTAGAAAAAAGTATTTTTTTCTATGATATATTTATATGTATCTATATTATCGCAAAGAATTAGTAGTAATGGTTGATACTGAACAACTTTGTTAACGAAGCAAGCGGAAAAATGATAATATTTCTAAATACTCTGCATAGTCATTGATTAATTAAATTTTAATTTCAGATTCCACTTAATTCTACGTGAAAATGGTTTAGTATTCTACTAAGTGCTTAGTTGGGTCCTTTACAACTAAACCTGTATTATCGTTACTATATATTGAATAATATTTGAAGTGACTCCAAAGAAATGTAAGAGAGACTTGATTGACTTGGATTTATGTTATGTTATTAGCATCTTTTATGTTAGCTCAAAACATGTAGAATTTACAATTAAAGCGTATATATTCCTTACATAATTAAACACTGTAACAGTCTTATTAAACTACGAAAACTTAAACGCTGAGCGAAACATACATTAGTTCAGATAGAAGGCCTTACTTACCCTTTGTGCGCTGCTTAGAACATAATTAATATCAAGTATGGCTTTGTTTAAAAAAATAGACATCTAGTGAGAATATAATACTATTATCAGCACTAACATCTAAGAACCATTGACGCGAATTAGGCCAGTGTTGCCAGATGACCGTCTTGTTTCCTCCCAAACATTGCTCAAATTCCTCAAAGAAACAAGAAATACCCCCTAATAAAAATCTGACTAGCAAGTGTTACACTATCCTGTTCTTGTGTTTTAGATAACTTAACTTTTCTTTCTTCCCAAAACATCTCAAATTCCTCCCAATCGCCATAAAAACCCTAATAAATTGGGGGAATTCCATCCATTCTGACATCACTGGATTAGGCTAAAATCGTATGTATTTAAAGCTCGTCAGTGTTTTACACGAATTGAGATCTGATATTTCTATTCACTGAGAGCGCGCCGAGACCTGGATCCGAGGACGGACGTACGCGCTCCCAGGGTGCTGGCTATCTCCTCGACTTGCAATACTGACATAGCAGTACTTTTTTAAAAGCTTGCCTAAACACCTTATTGAAAATAGTATAGAATATAGGATTCACCATAGAACTAGCATACCCCAACCACAGTACGCAATCAAATACCCACGGCGAAATTCTTCTTTCACACTCTGGACAAACCGCTGGCACCATATTTAGAATAAAAAAAGGAGCCCAAAGTACCACAAATGTAAAGAATACTACACCTAACACTTTAGTTGCCTTCTGTTCTAATCTTAATATTCGGCCATGACGAGACGAATTTCTAGAAATGACACTAGAGTTTCTAGAATGATGTGGTCTCGGTGTCTGACGTTGAGGACTCGATGTAACTGTTTGCTGTGGTCGGGTTGTAATAGGTCTCTGATTTCTAATATTTCTGACAGGCGTAGACAATGTTGTTCTTGCTCCTCCAAAACTGGAGCCTCTTCTAAATCTTCTTGCTTCATCCCAAGTCACCATGGAAGCGGTACCACGACTTGAGCGTCTAAAATATTGACCTGACTCATCAACTTTTAGGTTTCCATTACGAGGATATCCATTGCAGCCATTTATATCACCGCCTGAGACAATAATGACTTCTGTTGTACGTCGAGGAGGAGTTGATTCTGTTCCAAAATAGGGACATGTGCAAGGTGGAGGTAAAAGAAGACCGTCTTCTGAACTTCGCGATTTAGCAGTTAAAGTTGTTGGTGCTAGAAGACCGTCATTGCTTTCGTCATCAGATGCACTTCGTGGCCTATGTAATGGGGTGTTTGGGTCACAGGTGGACGATGGTCGCCGTCGATCTTGTAGCATAGAGGACGGTGAACTTGAGGATACACTCAAGGATCCTGGGGTCAGCATGCCTCCGCGTTCAGATATATTCGTCCTGAAAATAAGCTTACATTTAGTTAATAATTACTATAATTAAACATTATGATAATACCACAGACTGGCACACAAAATAGGAAAGCAGTTTGGACGTTTTATTAGATTTTACTGATCGGGTAGTGTACTCTTCAATCTTCGGAAATCAATTCTATTCAACCTACATTGAAATTTTTCGTTCCGTACTTTTAAATTGTACACTATAAACGTATTCGTAGTTCTAAATGCACATTAAAGGAACTAACCGACTTCATTGGTGTTTTATCTCGATTACTGGTAATGTATGTAAAGAATGGAACAAAATTGGAAATCATTGAAATTGTTATGGAGATTGGTGTCAAGAGCAATCCGGATAGAGCAGTTTCTGCTTGATCTTGTAATAATTTGTGTAGTCAATTTGGAAAGGGAACAAATGCCAATGTATACCCTCGGTACGGTGTCTGTGGTTTTGTAGCGGCAGAAGCTTCCAAGCCGCGAGAGAGGCGCAACATCTCAGCTCCGAATTGATGCAGTGCTGTCATTGCTGACGGAGCTGGCTCGCTGTGCAACACCGCGCGCGTATGAGGACAACACAATACATATACAGACGGAACACGTTAGCATATATACATATAAACAGAAATTCATTATTACAAATTTTAGTTACAAGACAAACGATTGTGTTTATGAGAATAACCGTTTGTAATAAATTCGCTGAGTGAGTGATTTGTAGATAAAAAGAATAGAATAGAACAATAGAATGAGATGAAATATAGAGTCCATATTCAAATAAACTTATTATAATCAAATTTTTATTCTACCGTCATATAATATTAAAGATGTCAAACTTCATCAAATACGAACATTATTTATCATTGGGGTGCTGTATAGTGGTGGTATACATTTTTTAAAATATTGTACCTACTTTTACTTTGTACAACACAATCAAATAGTGAGTGAAAATTATCATGAATTTCTGTTATAAAAATATACAAAAAATTTGTTTATTTTATTTTAAGCTGCAAAAGCCCTGTTAATACAATAAGCAATTTATAATTACCAACTTTATTTCCATTATAACCCATTTAGTGGAATATGGAGATAATAATGATAATTTTATTTTTATAGGTGTACAGTGTATTCTTTCATAAAGTTGATAATTAGCCTATCAAGATGTGCAAGCAAAATAAAAAAATCCTGGCAACACTAAATTTAATTATTTGAATGACTGAAGTTTATTCAGAATATATTTAAATTTATGCTCCTTTGTACTGTAATAAAGCACCTATATAGTTATACCTAAGACTAAACATCACTTAATAGATTTTTTTTTTAATTTTATGAAATTTTATATGCATATTCAGTAGGTCTGAGAATTGGCTACTATCTATTTTTCATACCCCTAAGTAATAGGGTTTGTCCATCCCTAACATTATTTTTTTAATTTTTTGGGCATAATATTATATTGTTTATTATGTGTCATTAAAAAATACATACAACCCTACATTTTCACCCTTCTATCACCAACCCTTATTTTTTTTATAGCGTTATTAATTTATATGGCAAAGCAACGTTTGCCGGAACAGCTAGTATGTATATAGTTACAAGAAGTAGACTAAGAGGTCTGCGTGGGAACCTTAGTCTCACCTATTTCAGCCGCCAAGCAGCTTGCTTGGTAAATTGTGTTTCGGTTGTAGGGTGTACATTATTTGTTTAAATTACAGGATAAGAGCTGCCAATTACAATCACAGCTGCTAATACTTCTGACTGCCCTATATAGGATCAACAAGGATAACAGTCAAATATGTATATTATTCCTACTATATTTATAAAATATAAATGTCAATATAAGGATTTGGCATAGGTATACCTTGTGACATAGTTACATACATAAGTATAATCCTTAACAAATGTATATACGATATATGTATATATAATCCGTAATGCTTACGTTACAGTATTAGAGTTTTTCGTAAAATCTCTCGTCTCGTCTGATTTCATTTTATCTAGTTTTTTATTCGGCAAATTTGTTCAATACTAGAAAATGGATAGAAAATGTCTCTTGAAAGAAAGTCCTGCTAACGTAATGTAAATTGTAAGTACTTCAGCAGAAAATATTTCTCGAGAGGGCAAACTCTGTTTTAGTTGACATAGAATTGCTAACTCTTTGTATAGTGAAGCCTATAGATTTTAATTAATCCATTTTTAAAATGAAGGAGTTTCTAAATTCGCCTGTATTTAACTTGGATGTATACAGATAGCTTTGTGTTCTAGTGATTTACTTCCACGGTTAATATCCAGTAATCATGTATTCAAATCTGGCCCAGTCGAAAGAAAATGTTTGGATCAATTTATATACCTGACTTGCTCTAGCGAAGAAACATTGATAACAAAATCAAAATAAATTCAAGAGAAGATAGTAGGCTCGCCCTCTAGCTCAGATTCAAATATACAGAGCGAAATGCGGACATGTTACCTGTTGCCTTCATAATAACATCGATAATTTAATATGACTCTGAGTACCCTATCAGCGATGACAGTCGTGAAGATTTGTTGTGTGTTTTAGCTGTATACCACAGATCTTATGTTTATAAATTCTATACATTGTAAGATATTGTTTTTAGCAATAAGGTCGCATTTTGTCAAACATACAATTAATTTATTTACATCCTGTAGTAACTAGGTAGTCAGTATACAGGTGTAACAATTAAACTACATTAGTTTATTTAATAGTCTGCTACATGGCTTATTAGTAACGCGTGCACTCACCGCGGAGTCGTAACGCGGACTGAATTTACACTGAACTTAAATCTAAGTTATATGGAGACGTAAAATGGAAGGGTGCCGAGTGTTGACAGAAATATTACAAGTGTATGCACAATTATACCTGTAATTTTCCTGTTACATCTGACCCTTCATCTGAGTAAGCAGTTCAGAGGCTGAATATGACTGGGGTATTCATGCAGGTGATTTTATACAAAGTATACCTTGGTAAAACAAGAGGGAAAGAAATATTCCCTTGGGTCTATCGTGCTGTATAACTCTGAGTTTTCTAGAAAAGTTACTTACTACATTGTTAGTAGGAATATGATGCCAATGTAGTGAATATAAAATATGTGAGGGCGTTTCTGTATATTGTTTTATTAGTTCAACTTAGTGTATGTAGGTGTGGCGTGGGTAGTACTTGTGCCTTGTATTCACTTACGTTCAATACATTATGAAATACTATGCTTTTTTTTCATAAATCTAATATATTAAAAATGTCGCTATATTATAAATAATAATAATCTATTTATTGCCAATAATGGTACAGTGATACAAATATGCGAAATATTTAAATTCAAATTCAAACTCAGAAATCATTTATTCATGTAGAACATTTTAGCCGCTTATGAACGTCAAGTTTTTTACATTATCATTTTAATTTTTTTTGGTACCGTCCATTTCGGTATATAGATCCAATTGAGAAGAACTGGCAAGTAACTCAATTGAATTACTTTTTTTTAAAAGCCAGTTTATTTACAATGTATATTTATATAAGTCTAATATTAAACGAAAATCCCGTGCATGAACAGCTATTGCCATGCACGCTCGTCATTCAAGTAATCGTTTAGTGACTTTTTTAGGGCTTTGCTAAGTAAATATGATTTAACAGATGTTTTAAATTTATTTAAGGGTAATTCCAATATATCCTTTGGTATCTTATTGTAAATTTTTATACATTTTCCATAAAATACCTATTGACTTTTTCTAAACGATACTGTACTATAATGATTGGCAATAAGTAATTCAGCTATTGCTGGATTGATATGCGCCCAACGCTGGTTTTCAGTTTGTACCTACGTAAGCATATCTAACCATATGTGCTGGACATCCACACCATAATATAATCAAACAAAATTTTACAATACATAAATAAAGTATAATGTAAGTGTAGCAGTAATTTCGGTGCAAGGAAAGTGAGGAAAAAGAAAGAATTGACTAAATAAATAAAATGCAAAAACGAGTATGGACCTTTAGTCTATGGACGATAAGGACGTAACTAAATAAAAAAGTATAATATACGTACTAAACGAAGACACTTAAAATAAGATTATCTTAGGTCTCGTATTAAGTGTCGATAATCGTGGGCTACTTGGAACGGGTTTGAACAGATCTAATAGAAAGTGGCAAGAAGTTCCAAAGACGAATAGCCTGGACAGTGAGAAAACATGTGTACTTAAAATAATATATATTTCAGTATTGCCATCAGTTGTCTAATACCCACAAGATCAGATCTGTTTAGTTTTGGAATTAGATCGCGCTGTATATAACATAGAATATAATAACATATAAATGTTATAATATTGTGAACCATTATTATTTTAATTCTTTCAAATTATTTATACCGGGAGACATTTAATTCGCTCTAGCTAATGTTTACAATGGTAGCATCATAAGCACTAATTAAGAAATATCAAACAGATCAAAGCCAGCGGAATACCTTTATTCGGAAATTCTTATCCAAAGATTCTAACAAGTAGAAGAAAGGAAAATTGAAATTATTCTGCTCTTATAGTCTTTGAAGTACTTAGCCACAAAAGATTATGCGGATTTTGTTCGTGCCTACACACCGGGTCGAGCGAGCTCCGTTCGTAAATTACATTTCAGGAAATAATCCAATGGTTATTATTGCACTTATTAGGAAACTAGGCTAGGAAACTATCTGCTACCCTCGACTTTGTCTGCTTTTAAATAAAAGTCGCTTAAAAACTCAACTGAATTTCATTATTTTTTAAAGACAGTTTATTTACATTGTGTACTTATATAGGTGATTGTTTAATATTAAATGAATATCGCGTGCATGAACTAGGTACTATTACTATGGTCGTTCGTCATTCAATATAGGACTATTAAACTGCAATCAAGTAGTGTCTATATATACATTGACATTAATCAACAGTTTAAGCATGGAATTGATATAAAACTTGTAATAACGGCGGAATAGTAAATGTGGGCAATAAAGGTGTGTACACAATATCGTTTTATGATAATATTTACGAGCAGTATTCCTATGTAACAATGTAATAATTATAATTGGTTTAGTGTCACTGTATTGCTAGCCAATTACTGAAATATGTGCCATACCTACATAGAATGGAGTAGAGGATAATATAAAATATATTTATGATAATTTTACTAATATTATAAACGCCAAAGTTTGTTAGTATGGATGGATGTTTGTTCCTATTTCACGCAAAACTTTTGAACTACCTTATACATTAGTATAATAGATAGTTTATATATATACCTTTCACGCGGATGAAACTCGGGCACAGCTAGCTAATTACGAAGATCTAAGCGAACAGACAGCGTAAGCGTTTTGATTTTATACTACATATCTAAAGATATAACAGGTTTCCTATGTTTTCTCACGAGACTACAGCATGAGGTTTTTCAAGAAGGGTATATTAAGGTTTCTTTAGGGTCGGCAATGCGCACGTGATACCCCTGGTGTTTCAGGCGTCCATAGGCTATGGTAACCATTTACCATCAGATGGGGGGCCGTATGCTTGTTTGTCACCATACTAGTATAAAAAAATACGTATTATAGATAAATAGATACTATAATATACTATAATCAATATGACAATCTTTTATCGTCTCATAACTGGACACAAGTAAGTCCTCATAAAAGGAGGTTTCACATCATAAACTGCCCATTTCGAGAATCTTACAACCCTTATGAATTTATACCTATTATAATACAGAGTTTAACCGATAAAGCTAAATATTGTCAAAGGTCAAATAGTAGGTGGTATTCATAAAGAAAACTTAAAAAGGTTATTGCGAATTGACATTTTTTTGTTACGATTGTATTATGTTTAATTTGAATAGATTGTATGTATGACTTTATTTGAAGTGATGGATATTAATATCAGAATGTCGATTAAGTAAGGTATATATATACAATTCTTTTTGTATATAATGTAATAAGTTGTTAGGTGGTTTGAAAAGACAATTTGACGCGATAGGTGGGCGATGCGCGACATCGCAAATTAGGTGGTGTGCTAAACCATTTGTTTCCATTAGATCACAGTACCGTATATAAGCATTCATAACTTTGCACTAACATTGAAAGTACTTCTCGATTCGTCCAAATGTCCTATTGTATATTGTTTACTCGTATTACCCTTTACTTGTATATAAACCCATTTTGTGATATTATCCTATATTATATATAAATAAAATATTAAACTTAAAAAAATATTACAAATGCTATCTGTCTATATCATGACTGTGACCTATACACTTTTCCGGATATATAAAATTATTATTATAATAGAGGGAGTGAGTGTGGTCACACCTTTAGTTTTGATTCAAAGAAATTTATAACGTAACTACTCACGGTATATTGTAATTATATTCCATTACCACATACATACACACGGTATGAAATAATAATTACGCGACATGTTCTGTATTTTCACTAATAACTACCACAAGTTTATCACACATCACGTTAGTATGTATATCTAATGAATTATTAAGTTATTTTCTATTATTTTCGTGTTATATTTGTCATCGATTCAGAAATAAATCTGAAATTACTTTAGTTTACTAAACAGTAGACTCTTGTTTTCGGTCTTTAAACTCTATGCACGATATACCTTTTTATATATTATTTATGTTTTTTTATTGTCTATTGTTAGATATAGGAAATAATGTGTATTGTCACTCTTATCTGGTTTACTTTTGATACGTTTATTTACGTATACGTTTATGTACAATTATACTATTCCATCTTAAACAACCGCCTTTCCATACTTATATTTACGACCATTAAGGTAATATTTACGACCATTATTGGTGTAGTATAATGATGCAGAAGAAGGCTTACTGAAAATTATTGGTAGAGATGGAAACAGAGTTGGACACTATAAAAGAATTAGCTTAGTAAGAAGAATAGATGAACTTCTCAGCATTCTATGGATTCACCGTGCGGGTGCCGGGTCCATTTCCGGTTGTGACAACGAAGGAAACTGAACAGTTCCCTGGACTTGTGACCCGAGTGTGGGTTTAAGGGCCCCTTTGTTGATGAACGTCGACACTCACCTACACAGCTCAAGTTTCTTTCTGCTCAACCAAATTTTGTAAGATCCTGATAGTGCCTTCTGATACACGTCTTAGTATAGAGCTTATTGCAGTTCTACATGGACTAAGATCTTTTTGTATGATTGTAGAGAGATTTTGCTGATATACCTCTAGCTCCCGCAAATAAATTAACCACATAGCCAGTTTTTGTTAATTCTTTTATTACTTACTATTTCCTTTTATTGCATGATCTTCAGTTATATTTGTTTCCCAAATGTATCTATATATAATTATTTGATAAAAATCACATATATTAGTGTAATTTGGATATCTAACCTTAAGTGACATTTAAGTTCTCATATATTTAACGATATAGAAAGTTGAAAATTGGTTAAATACCTACATATCCACTTTCAACTTTATATATCGATAAATATATGGGATATAATTTTTGGACCAGTTTTTTACTTTAGTGTAAAGTTGAATTTTCAAGTTACGGCAATTCATATATTTTAAAAACACATTTATTTATTTAAAAATATATTTAAAGGACCTAAAACAATTTTTATATGTACTTGGGATTTTCAAGTTGACAATTTCGCTTTTTTACCATCGATATTTTGTTATTAAATGGAAGAATATAGAAATAAATAAAAGTTACGTACAAGTGATAGCACATGTAGATAACTTTTATTCAACTGTGTACCTATGTACACAAACACAGTTTGTATGTATACCACTACTATGTAATATTATTTTATCTGTGCCACTACTTTATACTTATAACCGTGAAAGTAATTATTCGCTCCCACTAAATCCCATATAAATGCAATACTGAGACATGTATTCATGCAGTTGTAAATTTAACAGGAACGACTATGTAAAATTTAATTACACGTTATGTCAACCGAAATAAGATTTATTACGCTGTTAATTTCACAATTTCAGAAAAGTTACAAATTAATTTAATACAAGTCACGTTATATTGTGTTGAACTTTTAAATTTTTTAGGCGAAGAAAATTTTAACGCAACACAATCGAATACTACGAAGTTTGTTTTTGTTAGAAGCATGTAATATTATCACATCTGTGGTTAAAAGCAATACAGAAATTTGAATAACTAGCTTTATCGTCTAGCGCTGCTTGTGTAAATTCGAAAAAGTTGCGTAAAAGATATCAAATATGTCAATCTAGGTATAACCTAGGTCTGTACAAAATTTTGTTATAATCTGTCTACTAAATTTTGGCGTAAAAGAGATTGATCCATCATGCATTTATGAATTTAGTAGGATTTAGATGAACGTTTGAATCTTTGAAACGACAAATTTTGACTCATCAACTCCATGCGGTTTCCATGTGACTGATGAATTTGTTATGGTGAGTTATCTGATCTGACCTCATTCTCGTTCGCCAACGTATACTATTAACATAGGCGGGTGCATCATTCCATTAAAAATTGACCTAATTGTAATAATGAAAAGTTTAAACCAATCATGGCACAGTCAGAATTAACAAAACTTTAAAAAAACACGTATATTAAGTAAGTAATAAGTTGGGTAGACAACCATGAAAGGTTATGCCTCTTGGTATGCCATTTATATTACTACTAAGTTCTTTTTAAATTGTGAAATAATAAATTGTTAACCTTATAAGATGTGCCTTGCAAGGAGCATGCCCTTCTGCTTTGCCTTATATATTACTGCACCCTTTACTATCATAAGCGAAGCAATACTTGACACTACAACGACAGCACTGAGCAAAGAGCTCAGATAACAGATAAATGATTGTACTATCATCCGTATGAGAAACGAGATAGCATGTTCGCTATTTCATTTCTTCTCTAATGCCACAGAACACAATCTATCTCGCGTGCATAAAGCAGTGTACTTAACAGATAATCCCTCCGATCGGTTCAATTCAAACGGTGATTGAAATTACGACGGCCTGAGTCAAGGTTCGAACCTCTAGCGGTGCCCTCAGACTTAAGTCGTACCTGTCAGGCGGGAGTTAGCCTTAAACCGCTCCATAAGTCCTTTCGCCAGTTTGGAGTTTGGAGGGGGCGAGTGCAGATGATGCACTCGCCCCCTATCTTCCGGTGAAGCTGTAAAGGCCAGCTGCGATAGACAGCATTAGAGTACTCCGAATAACAAGTCAAAAAAAAAAGTAACAGATGACTTTTTTATTGTACTGAAAAATATTTCTTTTTATAGTACTTCTACTTTATATACTATATTTGCTCTATTTTTTTCCGAACGATAAAAAAGTCAGTAGGTAGTATCGGCTGCTTATAAAATTATTTGCCTCCAGGTTTAGCTTTCAGATCAGCATATAAAGGCGGAAAGAATTACATCACGTACTTATACACCTACGTTTCTTTCTGGAGCTAAAGTAAGCAAAACGTATTTTAAAGCATTGACACAAGCATATAACATTGTAGAACTCCTACGTGCTGCTACGTTGGCGTACAATGTTCCACATGAGTGTGTACAGTAGGAGTGTGGCATTTCGTACGTGAGGTACTTGAGACCCAATTCTATTAACCGACCTTAAGCGCTATTCACACAAGTCGGGTACTGGCTTCGTCAGTGGACGTTAGTAACGGAGGAAAATGGCTTGCAACATTTTGCATCTAAGAATATTATAGACATTAATCCATTTAATTAATAATAATAATTGATAAGAAAGACAGATGCCTGTAAACGTTTAATATAAATATATAAAGAATACTTATATTTTAAATATGGATAAATATAAACTGCCAGTGATTGTCTTTGTAGATCTAACAAATAGAATGTTCTAAAAAGCGAATAATGGAATAAGAGACGGAAAATCGTAATAAATAATATGACTAATGATCTCGACTTAGAGTCTACTCTAAGTCTATCTGCCTGTAGTGGTGATCCGATTGCAATATAGTTTAGTCTTTATTACATAATGTTGATAGCTCTCCTGGCGGTAAGTGGTAATAATCAGCATAGACATGTTTTAAGAAAGACGTCATGTCTTTAAACCCTGAAATTTTACTGCCATATCTCAGTCAATACAAATTTCAATAATAATATGATAAATGCTATAGTTTATTTTTTTGTGCCATTACGCATTAACAATGACAAATAAAAAAGCAATATACATACTAAATCGTGGGTGTACACTGATAGCGTGAATTCCCTGATAATAATAAATGAGGGTCAAGTATGATTTGTCCCTGACGGCCCGGACGACACGGAACTTGATACCGGGACTTGTGTGAATGACGCTTTAAAGAGTTGGGTACCTTGAATCTTGTAGCCACAGATCTCTTGTGTCTATTGGCGGTAGCTCTGTTTCCGTAGAGGCGGCCGAGTGCTGTGGAGTACCACCTCTGGGGCCGAGGAATCTTCTCCAAGTACACCGGCGTTCTGCATAATCAAAAATTATAATTTTTAATTAATTATTTTAGTAATTAGAATAGTAAACAAGCTGAAAGCCGACGCGATCGTAACAGGCAACTCTCGCACTGTGGACACTGCATTATCATCTGATGTCCACTTATTCGTTACTATTCCGGTAGACTGAGATTTAAAGCCTCCGTATCCTGTAATTTCACAACTTATCTGATCCTTATACCAAAACACAGGTTACAAAGCAAGCTAGGAAGTATTTATCTATGTAAAAGACGTTTCACAAAGTCTACCGATATTTGTAAACGTAATTAATAGACAGCATTTACTCCGTCGCGGGCGCACTTATATAATACATGCAAGTAAAGCCACCTGTTTACAGCTAGCGGTACTTAATGAATTTATATTATTTTGTTTAATTTCGCTACCATTAGCATGTAGGTCACAAATATGTAGTGTAGAAACCTGACCATCGGAAGCATTACGATCTTGACTATTAGTAATCACATTCAGAGCTTTGTTGAGACTAACCCTTTTTGGTGACACGTGTTTTACCTCTGAACGTAGCATCATCAGGCATTGAATCGAGTTCAGATATAGATTGATCAGAAAGCCAATCGTGCCGCAATGTGAGTGTAGACAGTAACGGTCGAAATTTTATCATCTATAAAGGTCATAAAGCTTCCAGAAACGATGGTCAGGATTCCTCATTGAATATTTGTGGTCTTATGCTAATGGTAGCAAAATAAAATAAAAAAAAACATAAATTCTTTAGGTAATGAAATGGACTTCAGCAAAATAAAATCTAATTCGATAAAATATACAACTAGTATTGTTATAACTTTGAACACATATCTACGAATAAGAAATTGCTTAGTCAACCACAACTATAATTTCTATTCATTTGAAATTCCCTTAACATACGTCTGTACCTCTTTCATTAGGCCTTGAATGTGTTGTAATCTAAATTGTTTCTCTTACAGATACTGTCGCTTGGAAATAATACTCAAATTCTAATTCTCTGTCTTAATTGAAATATTATGTAATTACATCTATAATAATATTATTAAGCTGAAAGATTTGTTCGTTTGATTGGAAACGCTAATCTCTGAAAAAATTGTTGGAGCTTAATTACTAGATATGTCAATAAAATAATATTGTTTTCATACACCGCCAATAGATGGCGCTGTACAAAAATTATATCTCGCTATAGTTTGGATAGCGCTATAGTATAGAAAAATGAAATGTATTTTATGTTGTTATATTTATTGTACCAATATTGATACCGGTCGGTAAACTCTTTTATACACGAACGAATATAGTGTTTAGGTTTATAGTATATTTAGAACCTTTTGGACATCTATATAAAAGTAGGTTGTATATATAGCTCCTTATTTATGAATAGAAAAAATCGCGTTAATATAGTATAAACGCGAAAATATAGTATTCTATAGCCAATTTGTCGAAAACCCAATAGATTCGCGTCACGTTATAGCCAATAGGAGTAGAGTGTCAATGAAAAATTATGCAAATACGGTGAGAATTTATTTGACAGGGCCCTCCCGTATCTTTTATGAGGTACAGACGTAGTTCCATGGGTTAGTTAGTGATTTGTAAAAATGATAAAATCTAATACATAAATCCCTATGAATATTATAAATTAGAAAACGTGTTTGTCTGTTTGTTACCATTTTTTTATGACTAAACACTAAACTGATAGTAATTATATTTGACATCGCGAAGGCGAACATTGGCTATCCTTTATTTTAAAGAAAATAGTCGAAGTCGCGGGAATTGCTAGCATTATATATCCGAAAGTTTGTCTGTCGGTCTGTCTATTACCTTTTCATGTCTAAACGACTGATCATATCATAATGACATGTATCATGATGACAAACAAATCTTTATCTTAAACATACTGAGAAACTCACCTAGCTATAGCAGATAACACCTAGCTATATCATACTAATATTATAAATTCGATCCATCTGTCTGTCTATTTGATATCCTTTCAAATCTAAACCGCTGAATGAATCATTACATAATACAATTTTATATGACGATGTATTGTATCACGAGGTTGAACATAGATTATCATTCATTTACAAAAAAAACAGACAAACTCGCGGAATAATATCTAGCTGTACCATATTTTGGCAAAGGTATTAAAATCTTCATTTTAACATCATACCGCTCATTAAACGAGTGTGAAACGGTTCCATTAGGGCTGTTTAAATCTACCTATATAGCATTATATGAAATTATTATGTACCTAACACCATGTGCTTACACGTCATTAACTCTCGTAATATGATTTAAACGTAATAACGAAGACTGGCAGTGAAAAGACACGTACCTACGCGTTCTTAACTGCTATATTACACTTCCCATCTTATTGATAAGAAATTTAATATTATTTATAGGCACAATTGTTTTAAAGAGGACAGATTTATCTTTAAATGAACATACTCAACCAGACGGCTTCTGTGGTCAAGAGGTATAGCACACCACCTTATTTTCGATGGTCGCGGGTTCATTTCCTCGCTTCGGTACAAACATTTGTGTTTTTTTTACAAATATTCATGAGTATTTAATAATTGTTTGTATCGGTCTGGGTGTTTTCTATGTATATTTTGTATGTATTTACGAAAAAAATATACTTATGTACTGGAAGCAGTTATCTAGTACCCATGACACAAGCTTAAGCTTGTTTAAATTGGGTGTAGATGGCGCTGTGCGAATTGTCCTGAGATTATTATATTTCTTTTGTAATGGATACTACAATTCATACAGTACCAAGTGTGTGCCATCTAGTACCAAGTTACGCAAAGTTTGTGTAGTAGATAATTGTATACATACATATATAATATACATAGAAAATACCCAGATCAATACAAAAAATGATGCTCAATCACCGCCGCTCTCAGAGACGGCTATTGGTTAGTAAAACTACTGAAAATTTTGGAAAATAACCTACTCAGAGACAACAAATCTTTGATTAGTAACATATAACAGGTTAACGCTTATTTAAGTACCTAATGATACATTTTAACGTACGTTTTCAGGTTATTTTTAATTAAACATCGTTCTTTACTTTGTTGAGGATTTATTTTTGAAATATAAAAGCTAATTATATTTTATTATAGCTATAAATGTACGCCTGATAAGAAAAAATATATTGTACCTATAAATGAACCGGGTCATCCACACACGCATATACGAGAGTGTAAGTAGGGGGCTCCGGCGAGCCCCTCTGCCCCGGCATCAACTTCGGGGGCAACAACCCCCGGGGGCTGGAACAGCCCATAGGCAGGTTTACATTGATTAAAATTAGAGACTTCACTTAACTAGTCTACGAGGGACAATATGTACAGCTTAACCTAAGTCGTGTTATAATTGAGTTTTTTTTATAATAAACTAGCTACCCACCCTGGCTATCCACACCACACAGGTGTACATATATTATACATATAAACCTTCCTCTAAATCACTATATGTACTAAAAACACATCATAATCCGTTGCGTAGTTTTAAAGATTTAGCCATGCATATGGACGGACAGACAGCGACAGCGACTTATACTATATAATGATGATAAATAAACGAATGAACAAAGGAATCAATAAATAAATAGAATTATTCGTGTTAAGACACGGTTAATTATATTTGTATTATGTGTATTGAACACGTACTAACTCATATACTAAATAATATTTATAATAATAACACTTACTAATATTATAAACGCGAAAGTTTGTGAGTGTAGATGGATGGGTAGATGTTTATTACTTTCTCACGCAAAAACTACTAAATGGATTTTAATGAAACGCTAACATTATATTTCAATAACATCTCAATTTTTAATTAAAAGTATATTTTTGGTCTTCAGTCATACCAGTGACTAAAATTACTAAAGACTAAAAATCTTACATTATATGTACATACGAGTAAATTAAAATATTTGTCCTTTTTTATTTATTTTTCTTATTCATCATTGCCTTGCCTTTATCCCATTATTTGGGGTCGGCGCAGTATGTCATTCTCTTCCACTGCCCGCTATCGGTCGTCATATCTAAACATACTCTTCTTTTATTCATATCATCTTTCACACAATCTATCCATCTTTTCTTAGGGCGTCCCCTCCATTTACATCCATCCACATTCATATTATACACTTTCCACTTTATTCTTCTTATTATTATTATATATTTTCTGTTCTATTTTTGTATATTTAGGTTTTTAATTATTTACATTAACATTACTATGAGTATTTTTAAAATTGTTACTTTGCTTAAGGTTAGAAGGTATATAAATAATACTATTACTGTTTGTTATAAAAATAGCTTACTGTCGTAACTTCTATTAGCTTTACTTCATGGTAATAACGTTCCCGGTAAATCTTGTGATGGCCGTCAAAGTATTTATAGAAATACAATTGGTTTGGTATTAGCAAAAGAAAACTATTTACATTTAGGTATAGTTCATTTCATATTGCTCTATTATTAACACAGTCTATAAAAAACATTAACTGTGACCAAACCTTATTTCGATATATAAAATACATATATTTTTGTATCCGTTTAAGTTAGCCGGTCACTTACTCAATCACTTGTTGTTTTCTCGTAATAAAATGTATAATTAAGATTAGTTCAGCCGTGATTTACAATAGTAGTTATAATTTTCTGATATAAAACTAGCTACTACTACTTTTATCCCCTCCGATCTATCCCCCGAGACCCCTAGTGGTGCCCTCAGACTGAAGTCGTATCCGTCAAGCGGGAGTTGGCCATCAGCCGCTCCATAAGCTCTTCCGCACGTTTGGAGTGCCATCTGCACTCGCTCCGGTGTAGCTGCAAAGGCCAGTTGCGGCCAACAGCATTAGAGTAGTTCGAAAAAATCTACTTCTATTATAAATAGAAATAGAAATAATCTTTATTCAAATAAACTCATTACAAGCACTTTTGAATAGTCATATACATATTTTGATTCTACCACTCATTCGGAATACAGATTCATCACAAGAAGAATTAGCAAGAAACTTGTGAGTTGCTCTTTTTAGATTAGATAAAAGGTAGCCAATATCCGTTCCCTTAATAGAAAATATCTTCAAATTGAATGCCATTCAGATTTGTTCAGATATTTAGTCGTGAAACAGTAATAGATAGGCACACAGAGGCACAGATACACCTTCCAATTTATAATATTTATATAGGTTCATGTTCATACTATGTTAAAGAAAAATCACCAACTTAATTTTTTTTGTTTTTTATTTGTTTTGGCCGGTGGTGCTATAATATGATTCTATATGATGTTAAACAAAATTACCACTTTGCCCAAAAAATACCACCCCCACGGTTAAATTTGTATTAACCTTTTCTTACTAATCTTGTTAATAATTATGTTGTATAGTGATCTAAACTACTGGGCTTATAATTTTGAAATTTCAATTTATCGTCCATATAGTGTATTGACGTGCACTATATAAAGGATTTCCTGAAGACATGACGGGAACAGGAGATAACAACTACGAACAGCTGATTTTGCGGTAAATAGTAAACAATAACAAGATGCCAATATATACTAGCTGTGCCCCCGATTTTACCCGCGTGAAATTAATAGTCCATATGTTATTCTGATATATAAGCTATATTACTGTATAGTTTCATTAAAATCCGTTCTGTAGTTTTTGCGTGACAGAGTATCAAACATCCATCTATACTCACAAACTTTCGCGCTTATAATATTAATAAGATAATAAGACTAGAATGTAAATAATACAATAATAAACCTAGACAACCCACACAGCTCCATCTAGTTACTTAATATTTACTTTTTTTTGTAAGTTCATACACAATATACATAGAAAGTACCCCGAATAATACAAATAATCATAGTCAATATCCATACAAATACTTGTACCGTGCAAGGAATTAGACTCGCAATAAACAACAAACTATAAAAATCAATACTTATATCTCAGAAGAAATAAAGGCAATATACATATATTCATTATTAAATGTAGAATTTAAAATTAAAGAGGTACAGCCTAGTGGTTTACAACCCGACTTAGACACAAGATCATGAGTTCGTATCTGGCTGATCCTAAAAAACTTTATATATTAATGTATAATTTAGGGTGACACTCAAATATTAGAAACACTCATAAAATATCAAATTATTCTAAATGACTAGATTCGGCCGCTGCCATTTGGTTTACTCTGAGAAAAGTGGGCATGTTAAGTGTTGTCTTCACCACGACATAGTAGGTGAGACAATGTCAGAATCATCAACATAATAATCGTGATATTATTATTTTCATTTTCCTACTAATCATTATTTATATAGTAGCTGTTAGCTAGCGCATCTTTGATTTACTTTTATTTTCGTCTGGCGTAGCTGTAGGCCAAGCAACGCCTAAAATCATTACAACATAAAAAAAATCATTTGATAAAAGAAAACCTACTATATTTGCAGTTATATAACGTATATTATATAATTCAACCGTTTATTTCTAAAAGGTAACAAAACAGGATACAATTTTGTACTTATTGGTATGGATATGTAATATTATGTTATCTGTGGTATGGATAACGAACTGAAAAAAAAAATTAAAACCGCAAGCGTATTTATAACAGAGTAATATACTTGCGGAGCACGTAAGAGATTATTGAAAACGATGGCCGTTACGATCAATTTCAATTGGGAAAATATGGACGTGGTTTTGATAATAATCGCACGGGGACTTGTGGTTGCGTAAAAATAATTTAATCCGCTCATAAACCGATTTCAACTTAAGCCCACTCGCTCAAAGTGCTTTTTAATATCAAAGGCCGTTCTCGCAAAATAAGCACAGCGGTTTTTTATTACGTGCGTCGGATTTTCTCTAACATGCAAAATTTAACGAATTAGATAAAACCATGATAAATATGTTTATGATGTTCAAGTCTGGAAGCTGTAAGGTGATTTTAACCCGCGATTGTGGTAACGCACCATCCACAGAAAAAAATATGTAAAAATAAAGGATGACTATAAATTTTTACGACGCTTACTAGATACAGACTGTATCTAGAACCTTTAAGACATTTTTCTGCTCTTCAAGTTAATATATTTTTATAGACAACAGAATCAGGGTTCTTGCGAAAGAGCTTGAGACATCAGTAATAAAGTGTAACTTACAGAATGATAGCAATCATCACCTATACATGAACAGCACCAAAAACATTAAGTTATGTTCGTGGCGTATTCGTGTAATTGGCAGGGCTACCAGGGGAAATGATAAGATGAGGTCAGGTCAATTCAGATCCCATCATGGTAAATTCAGAATGAAATTAAGAGGATGGTTTCCAAAAGGATCAGTGTGGAGATCAATCTGACATGGTACATTGCTAACTATGGGACTATCAATTTACATTACTAACAATCCTCTTCCCGCTAGGGCTGCAATATGAAACCTATCAAAGCTACACATAGCTTAGGAAAACGAAAGGCTTGTGTTGAATCGGTTTGACTAAAAAAGGTGCAAACTTGTACAAAATTTACTTCATCAATCACTCAAAACATTGTCATAGGTATAATAAATAATCCTATACGATACGGCGTCATCTAGTCCCACGGTAAGCAGAGCTTATAATGGGTACTAGATAACTGATATAAATACTTAGATAACGTTTGATTGTAAATACATAGAAAACACACAGACCGATGCAAATAATAATATTCATGAATGTTTACATGTTTGCACCGTGCGAGGATTCGAACCCGCGACCATCGGAATAAAGTGTGCTAAACTGCTAGACCACCGAGGCCGTAAAATAATAAATTCTTCCAGATCACTACACCATAAATACCGATTTGAGGCGCACCGAGCCAGTTCGCTGCCCATCCAGCACCAAGTCCTTTCCTCTGCCGTGCCAGGAGTTGAACAGTCAATGCGTAGGTGAGGAGCATCACGACCAACGGGATGTAAAAGCAGATGATGGACCCGATGGCCTTGTAAAGTGGATCTGGTATCTGGCAGGAACCCTCGATAAGGACCGTATCAGCGTTCTGTGAAATAAAGATTTTCTTGTATTTTTTTTATTTGTGTTAGGAGGATGGGCAAAGAAACATTAAATAAACAGGTAAAATAATAACAAGAGCAAATAATTGAACAACATAAGATATCGGAGATTATTTCGTATTTATAGATTTTTTTGAAATAAATACACAATCATGCGGTATCTAGACTGAAGTTAATCAAAGATTATAATATACGTACTATATACATATATATTTAATTATACTTTAGAAAAATATTTCTACTTAATACTCTTAAGAATACTAAATAACAATATATTAATAGTATTGTGTAATAATTAATAATTTATATATATAATTCTTTAAATGTGATCGAAACTACAACTATCTGAAATTAAGACAGTACCAAAATTGCCGAGATGATGAATACTTTCCAAAAAGGCCTATGGTGCTTAGATAAAATAAACTTAATATAGCTTAATATAGCTCTTTCCAGCCCCCAAGATACAGGCCTGACCTAGTTTGGGGACTACAGATAATAGAAATATATAAAAACTGTATTGTAGTAAACATGTAAATGTAAATCTATATACAAATGTAAATGTTAATCTATGTAAATAAATAAATTTTACTTTATATATATTTTGTATTAGGTATAAAATATAAAACTGCTATTCACAATGGAAGTGTATTTTTTCGCGTAGAAAAAATAAACCGTCTCAGTATTAGCATAAAGTGGCTTGACATTAAGTGAAATTGGATCGCAGGTGCTTGTAGTCAGCAAGATCGGGCCATAACTCAGCGGCTGGGAAATGGCTGAGTTGAGACAGTGAGCCCTGTCACTTGCGAAGAAACTATTGATGGTACAATTCAATTTGAAGTACACTTACAGGTAATGTTGGAGGGATAGTTCTGCTCTAGTTTCAGTTTACTGCTCACTTATTTTGATATTACCCGTATTTTTATACTTTACGTCCATAACTATGTAACTGGAAACGCAGCTCCGGTAGTTTTTTTGGCACTTGATGGTAAGTGGTAACTGTCACCTTTGTGGTAGACTGTAAAAACTTTGTGTGTGTGTAGTCAAGTTGCCCTTAGTTAGAGAGCAGATTAGGCAGTGAAATATACCTACCATACCCATAGCTACGTATATACTATATATACAAAATAACGTATCATTACATAATATAAAATAAAGTCGCTGTCGCTGTCTGCCCCTATATATGCTTAAACTTTAGGATTTTGAAGCGGTTTTTTTTATAGATAGAGTGATTCAAGAGCAAGGTTTATATATATAATACATATATGTACACCCGGGCGAAGCCGGGGCGAGTAGCAAGTAGTTAATGATTAACTCTGAAACAGCATCGTGTATTGATAGATGGAAAAAGTGTATTTAACCTTTTTTATAGAGGATAGCGTAGGTTTTATATCATGATAAGTGTTAAAGGTTGATAACACTTATCACTTTCAGCACCAAAGGAACTGCAGATGACTTGCCGATATTTAAAGAGGAAGAAGCTATTTTCTTGAAGGTTTAAATATCGTAACATTACGGAAATAACACTGCAGGGAGGAGATTCCATTATGTGATTGTGAGTGTAAGAATTTTCTGGAAAATTGCACGCTCGACGATTGCCAATCATCTAGGTAATCAGATTGATGTTTTAATTTCTGGCAAACCGACCTCTCCATGTACGGTGAATTTAGCAGCTGGAATTAATCCGATATCGCAATGATCAACAGAGTCGCAGAGTTTTTTTTGCGACGATAAATATACTATAAATATCACTTTTACTTTATAACTTCCAGTAGACTATTTATTTCCAGTCTTTTACAGACTTAATAGAATACAGTTATTTATTATTAACATAATAAATGTACCAATTTAATGACTTGTAAAGGCCCGCAAAGGTTTAATTACAATGTAAATATTTGACTTCGACTTGCGAGTTTTCGTGAATTATATCGCCTTGTAAATTTATTGGCTATTATATTATTTAAACGGTGGAATGGAAATGGTAGAACAATTTGAAATTCAGTGAAGAAGAAGTCATAAAATTAAACAAACTGTCCCCTAGATTACGCAGCTGTATAATGAGAAGGCAATTCTGTGTGTTTGTCTATTACACACTTACATAAATCGATGAGGTTAATTTTATTAAACTTTTGTATGTATGTAGAACTTAGGGTACTTTTCAATATTTTTTCAATCCATTATATTAAGTGTTAATAAGATTTTTATGGAGAATATAGATGGGAAACTTTTTATAACATTTCGATAAAATGTATAAGCAGTGAATATTATCACATGATGGTTTCTTGAGGCTAACTGCTCGGGTAGAGACAGATGCGATGCTTCTCATATATAGATCCGTGCCCAGTGCATGTGAATCTGAACTTCTTGTACTTGATCCTCTTTAAAGCGGAGGATAGCAGCAATCTTTGTGCGTTTGCGCCGCTGTGTGCGATTTGATCCCTGCGATGCTACCAAGCAGTCTGCCATCCTGCCTTGAAGGCATCCAAGAGCAGGACTGCAGACCACTTGGTTGACAGACAAAATGCTCCCCGCCCAAGGGAAAGAGAACAGACAACCAAGCCTCAAATCACGAAGGTGGAACGAGCGTGGCGGGTGTATCCCCACCTTCTCAAGATAAAGCCTTCCTTTCTCTCCTCTTGAATATCCAACTTACCCGACATAAAATAAACGATGCCGCGGGGAATAGCTAGTATTTGTTTTAATCCATTTAAAAGTAAGCTCAAGTGTAACACAATAAAGTTTTAATTAATACCAACTATTTAGGTGTCGTGGGTTTGCGGCCGGACATCGGCAACAAAAGACCTTAGCTATAAGAGATTTATATAAACGGATCAGAAGCACGCTTTAAGTCTTGAATAGTCAATTATTAGCTTTTGTATTTGTAATTTAATCATTAATTGTATACCTTTGTACCTTTATACAAACTTCAGTAGTGTATGTCTATTTATTTGTATCGTTGTTGACTAGATTAACGAGATTAGGTATTGTATTTAGTTTGTATATTGTTTCAGTGATTAGATTATATTAATATTATTTATTGATACAATATAGTTTCTAGGTTTTTTAATTAATATATGCAGAAGATTTAAAACAATATCATTGAATAGATTAACATTTAAACTTCTAGATTTTAATGATATGAACAACATTAATATATCTACTTATTCTGTTATTTATAAATCCTCAAATATGAGTGGTATAAACTTCATTTATTATTTAATTTAATTATATTGATGACATTTAAAAGAAATAAAATATTTTAATAAATAATCATTAATGTAATCACATTACATAATACTATTATTAATAACATCCTAAGATGTTATTAATAATTATTTCTGATGCAGAATATCATTTTATCACCAAGATTGAAAAAAATTTCAACGTAATGTTACTTTTCATTTTTCAATCAACTACATGAGTAAAAATAAAAATATATATATACTCTACTTTACTCACTATGAAATATTTGTGCGAAAATTTAGTTTATAAAGATATATATAATAAGTAAACAATAATTGTATAGATCTTACTTTAGTTATAATTACCTAAATAGCTTAACTTAAAAGTATTGTCCTAGGTGTGCATTATCAAATAACGCTCGTAGTAACACATTGTACGACGCACGAAGGTAAACTTGCTATAAAGTCTGCCTCAATGAAATCTTAAATCACTCACAAGGTAAAAAAAAGACGCAATGTAAGCTGCCCTGTTTCAGATGAAACATTATCAGTATTCAGGTTCATAAAATTTATGTGGAAAGTATATAAAAATTAAAAAGTTTTAATGTTGCTCTGTAATGAGGTACTTCCCTATTATGGGGATGTTTTATAGTAGGCAGGTATTTTTATACATTTACGACTGTTGTCCCAGATAGGGTACTAAGAGTCATCAACTGCCGACAATATAATAAAGGCAACACTTGACATGTACATTCAGCTGTATTTGTTTCGTTTAAACCTTTCAGACCCAATTTTTTTCTTTCAGATTAAATATATTTTCATGTTTTATGCTGAAATAATAGTAAAAAATTTCAATAAAACTTACCGCGTCCTGTTCGGGGGTCAAGGAGCCAAGCCATCTAAATATAATAAATCATATAAACCGCTAAAATAATTTCTTATTGGCTGGTTTAGAAACTCGCTATCATGTTATTTCGGCTTCGTGCGTAAAAATGAATTGCGCGCGGTTTTAGAATTTTTTAAAGTTACAACATACGCCCGTATAGCTCAGGTCTGAAAGGGTTATATTAGTTTTTTCCAGTTAATATTCACAATTAATTTCATTCTGCAATAATAGTCACCATTCCCCAACACAATTCCATTACTATTCACAATATTTTGCAATCTTTATTGCCGTTTTAAGACAACGACTTTCAGGTTATAATTTTGTTACTTGAATCATTGTTTAATTTAGCTATAATAATAGTTCTAAGCTTTTTGACATACAATAATTTAGTGTGAGTAATATATATAAAGTTCAGGTATTGTATTTTAGAATACATATAAAGGTTTTTGAGAGTTATACTCACGTCTGTTAAGGTATAAGTTAGTGCAGCAATTTCTAAAATATGCTCTCACACTACAATTCAATGTATCTTAATATCTAAAATTATGCATAGTATAGCTCTGAGAAATATTTACATACATAACAATATCCCTTCCAAGGTTTCCCCGAGAGACAGTTTGGGTTTCTTAAAAAGGGACGTGAAATGGCTTATGTAGGATCGCGATAAAAATTTATTGTAACTATATATTTGTATATTACACTATTTATTGATGTTCAATACGTCTGAAACGAAATGATATCATACTTATATATTTGTCTCAAGAAGAACGAGCAATAAAATTGTTTGTTGCTCTTTTAAATAAATATTTTTCAGTATTACATGTATAAGAATTTTTGTGAATACAAATTGACAAATCTATACATATAAATAAAATTGTAATGTCTGTTTTTATATTGAAATAACCGGTTTTTACTACATGCA